GTTTTGTGTATTTAAAGGTTGCAAGTATGAATAAAATTACATGAGTTTCAGCCTTCTAATTTTTCTGAATTCCTACAATTGGTATCAAGAGCATATTTTGTTCTTGAGGGACATCATAAGGTTGAGAGTTCCACCAAACACCTAAACAGTTATATTGAGAATTGAAAATGCAAACTGATTATTTAGTCCAAACACTACCAGCATTTGATGGTGAGAATTATCACCTCTAAGCAATCAGAATGAAGGCTTTTCTTGATGCGAAAAATCTTTGGGAAGCTGTTGAGGAGGATTATGAGGTTGGTCAATTACTAGAAAGTACAACACTTAATCAAATCAAGTATCATAAGGAAAGAAAGCAACGAAAATCAAAGGCAAAGTCTTGTCTATTTTCTGCTATTTTTCAATCAATCTTCACCAGAATTGTGACTCTAAAGTCAGCAAAGGCTATCTGGGATTTTCTCAAATAAGAGTATGAAGGAAATTAGAGAGTCAAAGGGATGCAAGTGCTGAATTTGATTAGGGAGTTTGAGATGTAGCGGATGAAGGAGTTAGAAAGGGTAAAAGAATATTCTGACAGACTTCTAAGCATTATAAACAAGGTGAGGTTGCTTGGGACATAATTTTCCGATACAAGGATAGTGCAGAAAATCCTTGTGACTCTTCCTTAGAGGTTTGAATCCACCATTTCCTCTTTGGAAAATTCCAAGGATCTGTCAAATATCACTTTGGCAGAATTGATGTATGCTTTGGAAGCCCAAGAACAGAGGAGACTCATGAGGGAGGAAGGCGTGATTGAAGGTGCTTTACAGGCGAAACTAAAACTCAGTCATGGTTACAAAGGAAAGAAAAAGAAGGCTCAAGGGAAAGGAGAAAGTTCCAACAAAGGTGGTAAAGGAGATGATGAGAAACCAAATCATCCTCCTTGTCAGTACTGTGGAAGAGAAACCATCCCCACTTCAGATGTTGGAGAAGACCCAACGTACACTGTAACAAATGTAACCAGCTTGGTCATATTGCAAAATTTTGCAATAACAAAAGACAATCTCAAACAAAGGCTCAAGTGGCTGACCAACAAGAGGAGGAGGAATAGTTATTTGCAACAACTTGTTTTGCCACCAATAACAATTGTGAGAGCTGGCTGATTGACAGTGGATGCACACATCATATGACCTATGATGAAGAATTGTTCAAGGAGTTGGATATGACAATTGTTTCAAAAGTCAGAATTGGCAATGGAGAGTGCATAGTTGTTAAAGGAAAGGGCACTGTTGCAATTGAAAGTTGTTCAGGTACAAAAATAATCACTGATGTACTTTATGTACCTGAATTAATCAAAACTTGTTAAGTGTTGGACAATTGCTTGATAAAAGCTACAAAATTCTATTTGAAGACAAAATGTGTTTGATCAAAGATGCAAGTGGACATGATCTATTCAAGGTCAAAATGAAGGGAAAAAGCTTCTCTTTAAATTTAATGGAGGAGAGAGATGAGAGAGAGGGGAGCCCTGTTGAGATTAATATTTCCTTTAAGTCCAATTCGCTTATAGGAAGGTAATTGTGGCTCCGCCACTGCCGCCACCACCCTTGAGTTCGGTTTCTGTTCCTGATTTGAATGTGACTCCAATTTTGGATTCAAATTTTGGTTATGGGGAAAGGATTAAAAGGGTTTCAGATGGTGATTATTCTGGTTTGCAACCGGTTAGGGTGTCTTCAGTTATTATGGATTTGAATAGGTCGCCTTTCAAGGGGAATGATAGCTCTATTTCAGGGAATAAGGAGGTGAGTGTGCAAAAGACTGTTGATGGTAGTTCTTCTTGGCTTTCTGCCAGGGAGGTTGATGATTCTCGCGGGAAAAATAAGGTGCTGAATTCAGTTAAAGCTGGCAATGTTTCTTCAGGTAAATCAGCCCCGAGGGTTGTCAAGAAGAAGAAAACTATTAAGAGAATTATGAAGAAAGGAACTGCAAATTCTAAGTCAGTTGTGTTAAAATCGGTACCAGCTAATAGGCTATCACAAACTGTTGAAGCAAAGAGTGTAGTAGTCAGTTCCGCAACTGCCCTTGTTCCGGAGAAAATTGAAGCTAATTTGGATGAGAAAAACATCATTGTTGACAAGATGGTTGAGCCAGACTGTTTGCACAATTTACCAAAGGAAGATAATTCATTGAAAGAGGATAAAGAGGGAGGTTTATTGTACTTGAGTTTTGGGTCAGATTCTAGGTTGCAAGAGTGTAAGAGTGACAAAAATTTTGATATTGGGAAAGTATCCAGGTTTGAGAACTTGAGAGGGAAACTTGGAGTGAATAGTTACTAATACAAGGAGGAGTGTTGAGAATCTGAATCAGCATATATTATTTGAGTTCATTTCAGATTAATGGAGCATTATTAGAATTCCTATGGTTATGAATTTTTAATTATAGGAATTATAGGTGCTGTTACACTTTTATGAGTATTTACATTTGTCATTTAGTTTTATGTTTATGAGCAGAATTTGTATCAGCTTTCAATTATATTTTGTGTATTTAAAGGTTGCAAGTATGAATAAAATTACATGAGTTTCAGCCTTCTAATTTTTCTGAATTCCTACAAGCACAATTTTATTAACTTTATCTTGATGCCGTTTTTGATATACTCTCGATTTGTGTGTTAACGATTCTTTCTACAAGAATATTTGTATTAATATTAATATCAGCTTTATATTACTACCTTAGCTATTTGTTTTTCAAGAAACAAATAATCTTCATTTCTGCTATTCTATCTTTGTTCTCTTGCGAGGTGTGCATGCTTTTATATGATGTCTAATGAGTGTTACTCCATATTAGCAGGAAGTGGTTAAGTGTATAAATAATGCTTCTGAACTTTTAAAAGAGAGGATTTCTGATGCAGCTGTTACTTCTTTAGAGAAAAATTGCTGCAAATGAAGGCAGAGGCTCTATGTTTGGTATTTTCTCCTACAATTATTTGCTCCGCTCATCTTTATGTATTCTTATTCTGCTTCTTTGTTGTTGTTGTTGTTTTTCTGAATTATTTTGTATTGTGGATAATAGAAATTATGTTTATTTGCATAATATGAAATGGTGGAAGGCTGAACCGACAGGTTATAGCTATTATAACTTATTGCTGCCCATAAGGGCTAAATTTAAATAAATAAATAGTGCAATTTGTAGCAGTTTATAATTTTTAGTAAGTGTTAAATTTAAACAAAATAAAGAATACAAGTTGTGGCGAATTTTAATCCCAGGAAATGATTTTGCATTTCTAGCGGGTGTTTTAGGATCTGACTGTTATTTTAACTGTAAAAAATGATGTTTGTGACAGTTTTTAGTCACTAGTAGTTGTAATTTTATCTGCCACAAATTATAATATTTTTTGTAGTGAGAAAGTTGAAGGATGAAAAGAGGGCTTGGATAACTCTAATAAAAGAGAGTTTAAGAATGAGGAGTGTGTTTAAGGGTAATACTAAGAAGAGAGAGTGTTTTGACTCAGGGATGAAGAATAAAAAGAAAATGTGAGCACGCAAAACAAAAGTTTGATGGTATAGGAAGAGATGTGAGAACTTTGAAACAATAAAATTGCCAATAGTCATATCTCTCTCTTCTTGAATCAAACACAATCTTTACAAATTACCAATTTATCAACTTAATCACACATTTTATTCTTCAGCAATTCCTTCATTCTTTTTAACATAAATCATCAAGTTATGGTTCTTTCACAGAATAAGGTTGAACAACCTGCCGAGAGTTTGTTAGGTGTAAATACTGATGGCTTTGTCTAGTAAGTTTCAAACAGATGCATGTCTATTATTTTATGGATTTTTCACTGGACATCTTCCGAACAGTTTCAGCCATCTTTTGACTTTAAAGCATTGAAATTTCAAATATTGTTTAAAGATTAAAAAAAATGTTCTAGCCTAATTATCTTTAATCTTATAAAACATTTCAAACAGATCCTTTGGCCGCCTTCTCTAGAAATTTTGGTGGTTTAATTTCAGTCATTTAAGAAAACTGAAATTAAATTTTTAAATATATTCATATTTATACAAAATAGAAACTAATAGAAAGTAAGATAAAAAATTGTATTTATCTTTTTACGTAATCTTTCTCAAAAGCCAAAATTCTCAGATTTTGCTATACTAAAATTTCCTTTTATAATATCAACACCATATGCGGATTAATTTCAAATTAGTTCAAAAAAAAAATTTTCTTGATCACATTTTTAATCCTAAGTTTTCCTCTATAATAATACCCACCGTCTAACATTAATTTGAAACACATCTTAACTAATGTTTTCCTTTTTTTAGTGATCTTGATTTAAGAAATTACAATTTGATCATAATTATTACTCGATGAAGTAATAATATATATATATATATATATATATATACTATTTTAAAATTATCATCAACAATAGTTATATAATAAAAATATATCTTGTGAAATATGCCAAGGTATTTATCATTACAAATGCTCTCTTTGGCTGCATCGTTTTCAGTTCGTGAAATTCGAGTTGATTTCATTCTAATTATATCTGAAGTTGATTTGCTAAAAATATTGAATGTAAAAAAAGTTATTTGAAGCACAATCTTTATCAACAGTTTCCTTCTTTTGGATATCTTTAAACACAAAATTTCAATTGTATCTTAATTATCACATAAGATCGTATCTATCAGCTTGTCTTCAAACACGAACAAACAAAAAAGAAATCCCCTGCCAGCGCTTTCATAGCATTTCAACAAAATATGTAAAACAATTTATTTGAACACAATCTTAATCAATAATTTCCTTCTTTTGGGGATCATGATGTTATTTTTTAAAAACAAAATTCGAATTTATCGTAATTATTACTTATTGAAGTAATTATAAAATCATATATATCGAAAGGTTTGTCTTCAAAAACAAAAATATTCCCGCTGAAATTTCATTCCCACTATAAACAGCCACGGCCACCTTTAACTCTTTTAAGTTTTCATTCTTGTTCAATTCATCAAATTGGTGGATCTTCAATGGCTGAGAGCACTGAACAGTGGCGAAAAAAACTGATAATAAAGCTTTACTTACCTGCATCTGAAAAGCGTGAAGAAGGAACGTGTGAAAAGCCAAAGCCAAAATGTAGCACTGAATATTCTTCAAGAGTAATATCAAAAGTATGTGAACTGAAGAATAAGAAGGGTTATTATGCGGCGGCAATATGGGTTAATGCTGAAAACCCATCATCATCATCAAGAAGCGAGTGTAATGAGAAGGAGGCTGTGGATAATGTTAACAAAAGAGAGTTCAAGAATGAGAAGGAGGGTGTGGATAATGTTAATAAAAGAGAGTTCAAGAATGAGAAGGAGTGTATGCTTAAGGGTAACACTAACAAGAGAGATCGTCTTGACTTTGAGAAGAAGAATAAGGAAAAAAGTGTGTGTAAACGGAACAAGAGTCACATAGTGATGATGGATCATCGCAGGAAGATGCAATGTTGGGTGATATTGAAGCGGTTGATGGTAGGAAGAGATGCATGGGCTTTGAAACAACCTCTTCTTGATAATAAATCAAGATCAAGGAAGGAAAAAATATTAATGGGTTTGGAAGATATTGAGTGCAATTTGCAAAAATTCAAGTACTCAAAAGTTGAGGAGTTTGCAAATGATATAAGGCTTGTCTTCTCTTATGCATTGCAATACCCTCTAAGGAGTGAGGTTCACAAAACTGCAAGGAGGATGAAGGATACTTTTGAACTGACATGGAAGAATTTCAATCACAAGTGGGTGCTGCATCAGGATTAGGGGATACTTCGTTATGCTTGTCTAGGAAGAAAATTTATACACCTCAGTTTTCCCCATTTACCTGTTTATTCATTCTCATGTAATTAGAACTCTCTTTTATTTTCACAGTTGATCAATTATGTCTTGCTCCTCCAAACTACTTATGATATTTGGTACATTAATTCAATTATGTTGTTGTTCTGCTATGGTAATTTTATATGTTGCTTTATTTTTTATTTTGAAAGACTGTTGTATCGATCAAAATGATCCAAACCAGTTCCATGTCGTCCAGGTTTGATTACACCATGAAATAATACGAATGAAACCCTACAAAGGTAAAATAAAATAAAATAGCATTACGATTTTGAAGTACCGTGGTTAATTTTGTTTTTAGTTCCTTGGTAATTTTAAATTTACGAAGGAAAAAAAAATACCATTACGATTTTAATGGCCCTCATGTAGAAAGGATTTTTTTTTTCTTTGGGTAAGGCAAATAATGTTATACGTTTAACATTCAATTTTTATCCAAGAAGTCAGAATATACTCCATTGAAAACCTACTGCTGCATTCGATTTAATTATATATTTTTAATGATGACAAGTATGTTGTATGTCTTTTACTTGTTTTGTTTGGTTAAATGCTGGAGATGTGATTCATTTGTGTTAATTCGAAGCATGCTTCCTTTTGTTTTAACAAATTTTGTTTCGTTGCTGTTATTGAACTTTTATTTGATAGAAATTTTGATAAAAATAAAAAAGGTAACCCATTTTGTAGGACTGCATGGATCAGTTAGCTTTAACACTTTTACAAGACAAATGTGTAAATGGTGTTGTAGGCACTTAAGATTTTGTTTTTGCATTATTTTGATGTTTAGTGTTTAGTTGGCAAAAAGATAATCTTTTATTTCCCTATATGTTTGATGAAATGCAACTTCAGGACATAGGTTTTAGTATCTATTGTGTTTAAGGTCTATGATAAAATGTTTGAACCCCTAAACCTCGGATAGTCTCATTCTTGGCAGAGCATATGTTTTCTGTTTTTCAGATATAGATTCTCATAGACAAATGGTTTTTCAATTTGAAAAGATAAACCAAGATCACTAGCTGAGTGAGTGACACTTTTATTCTCTCAATTACTAGGCTGGGCATCTATACACCATATCTAGTTGGTGGTTGTTTATATATTGGTCGAAAGAGCTTTTTTTTATGTAGATGACTATATTTTCAACAATAGAATCTAATTACAGGAATGCTAAATCATTGGGTTGTTTGTATTCTTTTTAGATTTCAATTATATAAAAGAAGATCATAAATATACTATTTAATCAGTTACTTCTTTGATTCTCACGTTAGACGTTTGAGATTTTGAGTATGAGAGGTCTTACACTATTTAATTATAATGACTAGTCTCTGTAGTGTTTCTGCCAAAGATGTCCATTGATATCATCACTTTATAACATGTCTCTGAGCTAAAACTGCCCCCTATAATGTAATTAATTGCCTTGTAATGTTTGATGCTCACAGTACTTAGTTGGCAGATAATCCTTTACTTGTGTGTTTGTTTGATGAAATGCAACTTTGGGACATGAGTTTTAGTATCTATTAGTGTTGAAGGTACATGATAAAATGTTTGAACCTCATAAACCTTGGATTCTCATTCTTGACAGAGCATCTCTTTTTTGTTTTCCTTAATAGATTTTTTTGACACGATTTTTCAATTGGGAAAGATGCACCAAGACCATCGGTTGTGAGTAACACTTTTATTCTTTAAAATACTAGGCTAGGCATCTTTACACCATGTCTAGTTGGTGGTTGTTTATATATTATTAGAAAGTTTTTTTTTTTTTAATGTGGATAACTATATTTTCAACTTTATAATCTAATTACCGGAATGATAAATCATTGTGTTGTTTGTAATCTCTTGAGATTTTAGTTATTTGTATAGGAGGATCATAAATATATATACATTGAAGGAAAGAAGTAAGAGAATAAAAGATTATAAAGATACATGAAAAAAAAATTGTATCGGAGATATATGGAAAGTTTAAAGAGATAAAAAAAAAGTGTATATAATGAAAAAGAAAAATAAAGTACGTGTGGAGATTAAAATGGTAGTTAAAAGATAGATAGTGTAGAATGAGAGAAAATATTAAAATTTATTGTAAAAATAAATTAAACGATATTTGAAAAGTTGCATAGAAATAATAAATATATAATGTAATTTAAAATATAATAATATTAGAATAAATTAAAAGGCTAAAAACTTATTTTGCTCCCTTATAATAATTGTTTGTTTCAATTTAGTCTTACTTTTATTTTTGTTTCAATTTGGTCCCAAATAAATTAATTGGTTTCAATTTGGGACTTCCGTCCAAATTATTTAAACAGAGTTAACTGTTGGTCACGTGGATGCCACGTAGATGCATAGATGAATGCCACGTGGATGCCAATTATTTTAAAACACCTAGAGCCAGAACAGCCCATTCTGGTTTCAGAACGAGTCATTCTGGTTACACTTTTGGTTGTTAATTTTGCATTCGGAACGGCCCGTTCCAGGTGCAAAATTTACACACTAAAAGTGCAACCAGAACGGGCCGTTCTGGTTTCAGAACGGGTTGTTCTGGTTCCAGACTGCTAAGCATAAACGATCGATGGTTATAGTTCACGATTGTGAATCATGGAAGGAAAAAGACCCAAGGTATAAAGTATTTCAAACACTGAATTTGGTAATATTGTCAATGGAAATTGATAACTTCAATTGCTAAACAGTTAGGCTATACAGTGTATTATTAAGGACAATGCAATGTATCACTAAAGACAATGGTAGCAAATTTTATTTCATTTCAAACTGGAGTAAACCATTTACTACCAAATTGACACTATACAGTAAAGGATGAAATGACATAGTATTTTTCTTTGAAGTCATTAACAATGTACCCCAACAACAACAACATGTTCTTGAAGAGGTAGAACGTGAAGTAAAGGAAGAGGATACACAAGACTAACATTTCACCACACAACCATATGCAGGGACAGATTTAACTTAATCATAGTGGGGGCGCTTGCCCCAACTAAAATTTTTTTCATTCTTTTTTTTATATATAAAATATTAATAATTTTATAAAATATATATTATTAATTATATTTTAATTATGTTGTTATATCTAATATAATAAATATATTAATATTTTTTTATATTTTATTTTATTGTTTAATTGTTTTTTATTTTGTGGTAAAATTATCTTCATTTTTAATGAAGAAAAAATTTACTTACTTCAAGAGTAAGTCTTGATAGATTTATTCTATTTAATAATTAATGTTCTATATCAAATTTTTAAGAATTTAATTGTTAAATTAAAAAGTTTTTCATGTATAGATCAAATTTATAAAAAATTTTAAAAAATTAAAAATCATATGATACTTCGTTAAATTAATTCAAATTAACATATAAAATATTTTTGTTTTAAATGAATGTAAAAATTTAGAGGACACTAAAAGAAAATAAATTAATAATTTTATTATGTTTATCCTATTAATTTTTATCATTTTATTCCTCTAATTTTAAATAAGTTGCAAAAAATTATAAAGTGACACTTAAATATTTCTTCAGACAGAAAGAGAAAAAGAAAAAGTTATTACTCTATTTATAAGACAATTGTATTTTATAAAAATAAGTAATTTTAAAATTTTTACCATAAAAAAATATTTTTCAAAATTATTATATTTTTTAATAAAATTAATAAAAAAATATTCTATTCTCAGTTTTGGAACGGGTCGTTCTGCATTACTGGTGGTGTGTTAATTTTGCATCTGGAACGGCAGATGCAAAATTAACACACCAAGAGTGCATTCAGAACGGTCCGTTCTGGTTCCAGAACGGTCCGTTCTGGTTCCAGAACGGTCCGTTCTGGTTCCAGGTGTTTTCGCAAAATTTGGCGTCCACTTGGTATTCACGTATACATTACGTGGCATTCACGTGGCCAACAGTTAACTCCGTTTAAATAATTTGGACAGAAGTCTTAAATTGAAACTAATTAATTTATTAAGGACTAAATCGAAACCAATTAATTTATTTGAGACTAAATTGAAACAAAAAATAAAAGTAGGACTAAATTGAAACAAACAATTATTATAAAGGACCAAAATAGATTTTTAGCCTAAAATTTAAACTCTTCTTAAATAATAATATTCACTATTTAAGTCCAACATTCTATTGTGTCGGAAACCATAACTTGAATAATAGAGTGAAATATTATTTTAACTCACAATATTCTTTAGACTTCAAGCACACTATAACTTAAAATGTTTCAAACACATAGTATTCTATTTCCTCTAACAGAAAAGACTTCGGTCAATAAGTGAAAAATGGAAAACATGATTTAATGTTGTTTTCTTCACTCTTAAAAAATAATTATTAAAAACATTATTTGTATTTTTAAATTTTTATTATTCCTTTAATTTAATTTTGTAATTTTATCTTATTTTAGTTTATTCTAATATTATTATATTTTAATTACATTATATATTTATTTATTATTTCTTTGCACCTTTTCAAATGTCGTCTAATTTATTTTCACACTAATTTTTAATATTTTCTCTCGTTATACAGTATGTATCTTTTAACTACCATTTTAATCTTCACACATATATACTTTATTTTTCTTCTTTATTATATACACTTTTTTCTCTCTTTAAACTTTTCATATATCTCTGATATAATTTTTTTTGCTCATTTCTCTTTATATTCTTTTATTCTCTTAATTACTTCTTTCCTTCAATTTATATATTTATGATCCTCTTATATAAATAACTGAAATCTCAAAAGAATACAAACAATAATTTAGCATTCCTTTAATTAGATTCTACAGTTGAAAATCTAGTTATCCACATTAAAAATAAAAATAAAAAATTCTACTAATATATAAACAACCACCAACTAGACATGGTGTATAGATGCCCAGCCTAGTAAATGGGAGAATAAGTGTCACTCACTCAGCCAGTGATCTTGTTGTATCTTCCAAATTGACAAACCATTTGTCTATGAGAATCTATTCAGAAAAACAGAAAACATATGCTCTGCCAAGAATGAGATTATCCGAGGTTTAGGGGTTCAAACCTTTTACCGTATACCTTAAACACAATAGATACTAAAACCCATGTCGTGTAGTTGCATTTCATAAAATATATAGGCAAATAAAGAATTATCTTTTTGCCAACTAAACACTTGAACATCAAACATTACGAGGCAATTAATCACATTAAAGGGGACATTCTTATTAGCTCATTTAAAACCGCCACAATATTTCGTGGCCAACTTAATTAAAATAATTTTTTTATTATTTTTTAAAAGAATAAAAATCATAAACTTATTCTTAGGCACGCATGCTTCACTTTCTCTCTAACTTCTTTCAAAATTCTTCTCTTATTCAATCCTCTTCCACTTCTCGCTTTTAGGGTTTCAATTTCTTTAATAGCGCCCGGTCCTAATCGCTCTGATACCAGCGCCACCAAAGACAACGCTGTTGCAAAGAAGAAAGTCGAGAACGAAGATCTGGTGAATCCAAAAGCCTCTCTTCAAATTTTCTCTCATTCTAGACCGCAAATTTCTACTCTGTTTTCTCTTGCAACAAAATGAAAATCGATTATGGTAATTTGTGCAGTCCGATGAGGATTTGGCACTGAAGCAGCAATAGAGTTGTGCGTGGAGAGGGTTCAGGATCCCCGACTAGGGATTGCAGAAGGTTTCAATGAGGTAAACCTAGTTGTATGCTCGAATGGAACAAATTTTGATTTGAATGAGGATTTTTAGCTTTCTTTTATATTTAATTTTATGTGTTTGAAATTGGGATGTGTTGTTGTGTTAGTTTGACAAGAAATTCGAACTTATGACTTCAGTTCCTAAGCCAGCATAAACTACTCTGTGTTTTTTATTTTAATAATTTTTAATATTAAATTTTAAATAAAATTTATATATAAAAAAATTTAGAGTAAAATATATATAAAAGAAGTTATTTTTTATATTATTTGTATTAATTAAAATAAATATTAATTATAACATGTATGAAGTATTATATTACAAATTTAGAATTAATAGTAAATATTGAAACGGAAATCTAATAATAATTAGTGATCATAAAATTATTAAATTTTATAATATATAACATAGAATATATATTGCAATTCTATTTACTTATTAATATAATTTTATTAATAATTTCATAATTTATATTTTATTTAAATTTTTTGACAGAATTTTTATTTAAATTTTAAATATAGTATTGTTAGTAATTAATATTATCTTCATCAACAATTATATGTACAAAAAAGATATCAATAACTATTAATTGATGAAATATAAATGTAGTACTTATTAGCAATTATTACTATTAATTTATTTGAACTTAATAGCTATTAATTAATATATTTTATTAATTTGTTTGGTTCATTTTCTAATAGATTTAATGTTTTTAAATTCTTGTTTAATTTTAATAATTACTCAGTATGAACTTATTTTATAATAACATTTGTATATAAATAAGTTTTGTAGGAAAAATATATATTGTAGAAATTGCTCTCTTTATATTATTTTGTGCATAATTTATTTCCTTTATAAATATTAGTGTTGTCTAGATATTTTGTGTTTCTATATTTTATTTAATAAAGATGTTTAAAAAATATTAATATTTATTAGATTAATTGGTATTACACTTGATCTTCAAATTTCAAGATCTTAAATTCAAATTTTATGCTTATGGAGGTAGTTAATTTTTAATATTATTTTTTATTATTTAAAAATTAAAAAATAAAATTATCTAAAAAATATATACACGAAATCAACTATCATCTTAATATATGTTAAAGATTATAGATGTAACGGTTTATTTGATAATATATATATGAGGAGGGTTCAAATGACACCGGTGTAACTTTTACTAAGTGTTACACCGCTCAATAACTTTTATATTAAATATGAATTTTGAAAATCCAACCGTTAGATTGGAAGTCATATCTCTTAGATCATATATATTAAATTTTATATTAATCTAAGATGATTTGATACTTCATTTTCGTAAAACAAAATTGACGGAATATATATATATTTCAATATATACTAAAATATTAACACTTTGATTACCTTGAAGTTGTTGTTCAAATTTAACAAAATTTGATATATATGATCTAAGAGATATGAACTTTCAATCTAACGGTTGAATTTTCAAAATTCATATTTAATATAAAGTTATTGAGCGGTGTAACACTTAGTAAAAGTTACACCGGTGTCATTTGAACCCTCCTCTCACTACAAAAAAATGTGTGATTTGTGGCGGGTTTTTTTGTAGGGTTTGGTCCGACCGGCCGGTTCGGTCCGGTTTTTAAATCACTGCTCATAAGTCATAACTCCATAAAAACTAAAATAATACAAAAAAAAAAAAAAAAAATCTTAAGTGCCTATAACACCATTTACACATTTGTCTTTGTAAAAGTGTTAAAGCTAACTGATCCATGCAGTCCTACAAAATGGGTTACCTTTTTATTTTTATCAAAGTTTCTATCAAATGAAAGTTCTATAACAGCAACAAAACAAAACTTGTCAAAACAAAAGGAATGATGCTTCGAATTAACACTATAATAGATCACATCTCCAGCATTTAACCAAACAAAACAAGTAAAAGACATACAACATACCTGTCATCATTAAAATTATATAACTAAAGAGAATGCAGCAGTAGGTTTTTAATGGAGTATATTATGACTTCTTGGATAAAAATAGAACGTTAAACATATAACATTATCCATTGCCTTACCAAAAGAAAAAAAAAAAAAATCCTTTCTCCACGAGGGAGATTAAAATCGTTATGGTAATTTTTTTTCCTTTGTAAAAAGTTAAAATTACCAAGGAACTAAAAACAAAATTAACCACGGTACTTCAAAATCGTAATGCTATTTTATTTTGTTTTGCCTTTGTAGGGATTCATTCGTACTATTTCTTGGTGTAACCAAACCTGGAAGACATGGAACTGGTTTGGATCATTTTGATCGATACAACAGTCTTTCAAAATAAAAATAAAAATAAAGCAACATATAAAATTACCAGAGCAAAACAATAACACAATTGAATTAGTGTAACAAATATCATTGTAAATAAGTAGCTTGGAGGAGTAAGAAATAATTGATCACTGGTGAAAATAAAAGAGTTTTTAATAACATGAGAATGAATAAACAGGTAAATGGGGAAAACTGAGTTCTATAAGTTTTCTTCCTATGACATGCATAACAAAGTATGCTGTTGGTCCCCTAATCTTGATGCAGCACCCACTTGTGATTGAAATTTTTCCATGTGAGTTCAAAAGTATCCTTCATCCTCCTTGCAGTTTTGTGAACCTCACTCCTTAGAGGGTATTGCAATGCATAAGAGAACACAAGCCTTATATCATCTGCAAACTCCTCAACTTTTGAGTACTTGAATTTTTGCAAATTGCACTCAATATCTTCCAAACCCATTAATATTTTTTCCTTCCTTGATCTTGACTTATTATCAAGAAGAGGTTGTTTCAAAGCCCATGCATCTCTTCCTACCATCAACCGCTTCAATATCACCCAACATTGCTTCTTCTTGCATTGATCCATCATCACTATGTGACTCTTATTCCGTTTACACACACTTTCTTTCTTATTCTTCTTCTCAGAGTGAAGACGCTCTCTCTTGTTAGTGTTACCCTTAAACACACACTCCTTCTCATTCTTGAACTCTCTTTTGTTAACATTACCCACATCCTCCTTCTCATTACACTCGCTTCTTGATGATGATGATGATGATGGGTTTTCAGCATTAACCCATATTGTTGCCGCATAATAACCCTTCTTATTCTTCAGTTCACAGACTTTTGATATTACTCTTGAAGAATAATCGGTGCTACATTTTGGCTTTGGCTTTTCACACACTCCTTCTTCACGCTTCTCAGATGCAGGTAAGTAAAGCTTTATTATCAATTTTCTTCGCGGCTGTTCAGTACTCTCAGCCATTGAAGATCCACCAATTTGATGAATTGAACAAGATGAAAGCTTTATTAAAAGAATTAAAGGTGGCCGTGGCTGTTTATAGAGGGAATGAAATTTCAGCGGGAATATTTTTGTTTTTTAAGACAAACTTATCGATATGATCTTATAATTACTTCAATAAGTAATAATTACGATAAATTTGAATTTTGTTTTCAAAAGATAACATCAAGATATCCAAAAAAAAAAAAGGAAATTATCGATTAAGATTGGGTTTCAAATAAATTGTTTCACATATTTTGTTGAAATGCTGTGAAAGTGCTGTCAGGGAATTTTTTTTTTTTTTTTTGTGTGTTTGAAGACAAGCTGATAGATACGATCGTAAGTAATAATTAAGATACAATTGAAATTTTGTGTTTGAAAGATAAGATCAAGATATCCAAAAGAAGGAAACTGTTGATAAAGATTGTGCTTCAAATAAATTTTTTTACATTCGATATTTTTAGCAAATCAACTTCAGATATAATTAGAATATAAGACGGTGGGTATTATAGAGAAAAACATAGGATTAAGAATGTGATCAAGATTTTTTTTGAACTAATTTGAAATTAATCCGTATATGGTGGTGATATTATAAAAGGAAATTTGAGTATACCAAAATCTAAGAAGTTTGGCTTTTGAAAAAGATCACGTAATAAGATAAAGCAATTTTTTTTATCTTACTTTCTATTAGTTTTTATTTTGTATAAATATGAACATATTTAAAATTTTAATTTCAGTTTTCTTAAATGACTGAAATTAAACCACCAAAATTTCTAGAGAAGGCGGCCAAAGAATCTGTTTGAAATGTTTTATAAGATTAAAGATATTAGACATAGAACGGTTTTTTAATCTTTAAACAATATTTGAAATTTCAATGCTTTAAAGTCAAAAGATGGCTGAAACTGTTTGGAAGATGTCCAATGAAAAATCCATAAAATAATTGGCATGTAGCTCTGTTTGAAACTTACTAGACAAAGCCATCAGTATTTACACCTAACAAACTCTCGGCAGTTGTTCAACCTTATTCTGTGAAAGAACCATAACTTGATGATTTATGTGAAAAACAATGAAGGAATTGCTGAAGAATAAAATGTGTGATTAAGTTGATAAATTGGTAATTTGTAAAGATTGTGTTTGATTTGAGAAGAGAGAGATATGGCTATCGGCAATTTTATTGGGAAATTGGAGTGAAAAATTTTATAATATAGATTTAATTTATTTATTTAATTGAACTTATAGTATAAATAAAGATGCTTCAATATTTTTGCCTTTCTTGATCTTGACTTATTATTGTTTCAAAGCCCACCTATCTCTTCCTATCATCAAACTCTTATTTTGCATATTCACATTTTCTTTCTTATTCTTCATCCTAGAGTCAGAACACTCTCTTCTTAGTGCTACCCTTAAACACACTTCTTCTCATTCTTAAACTCTCTCATGTTAGAGTTATCCAAGCCCTCTTCTCATCCCTCAACTTTCTCACACTTCAAAAAAATATTATAATTTGTGGCAGATAAAATTACAATTACTAGTGAGTAAAAACTGTCACAAACATCATTTTTTACAGTTAAAATAACAGCCAGATCCTAAAACACCCGCTAGAAATGCAAAATCATTTCCTGAGGGTTAAAAATCGCCACAACTTGCATTGTTTATTTTGTTTAAATTTAACACTTACTAAAACTTATAAACTGCCACAAATTGCACTATTTATTTATTTATTTAAATTTAGCACTTGTGGGCAGCAATAAGTTATAATAGCTATAACCTGTCGGTTCAGCCTTCTACCATTTCATATTATGCAAATAAACAGAACTTCTATTATCCACAATACAAAATAATTCAGAAAAACAACAACAACAAAGAAGCAGAATAAGAATGCATAAAGATAAGGGGAGCAAATAATTGTAGTAGAAAATACCAAACATAGAGCCTCTGCCTTCATTTGCAGCAATTTTTCTCTAAAGAAGTAACAGCTGCATCAGAAGTCCTCTCTTTTAAAAGTTCAGAAGCATTATTTATACACTTGACCACTTCCTGTTAATATGGAGTAACACTTATTAGACATCTTATAAAAGCATGCACACCTCGCAAGTGAACAAAGATAGAATAGCAGAAATGAAGATTATTTGTTTCTTGAAAAACAAATAGCTAATGTAGTAATAATAACTGATAGTAAAATAAAGCTGATAATAATATTAAATTATTAATACAAAGTTTCCTGTAGAAACAATCGTTAACACACAAATTGACAGTATATCAAAAACTGCATCAAGATAAAGTTAACAAAATTGTTCTATGCACATAAAAGAAAATCACTGAAATACCTAAGCCTTTTGTAAACCTTCAGCTGTTTCTAGCACAACCCCTCGATCCAAACAAAGAACACTAATTGATTCCATGCACTTAATAAAACAAGAGTTAATCACCTATATATTGTCAATGTAAAAATTTTTTACACTGACAACCAATTATATTCTTTAATTGTGCCATATCACTGTTAAAAGTAAATTTGTTTATAGTAACATAGTACAATTAAAGGATATAATTGGTTGCCAATGTAAAAAAAACTTTACACTGACAGTATATAGGTGATTAACTCATAAAATAATGCTGATTATTTTCTACTTCCCCTAACAAAAGGTGACAACTGGAGAGGAAAATCATATTTCATTACTTAAGCGGAAGGAAAACTAAAAACCTATATATTTTGGGATCTAAAAGAATGCAAGCCCTTACTTAGCAGTTCTCATATGGGATAGCTCTGTGACTTCTATGAAAGAGGGCGCTGAATCACCTTCCTCTTCATCCTCATCACCTTCAGATTCAGAGCAAGAAAAAACAGATGATACTACTAACAATAATTATGATGAATTGATTTTGTTAATAAGGCCAAATAAGAACTCTTCCATTTTGATAATACTACTAACAATAATTTCTATTTAAGAAGTTAAAAGTGGAGGAGTGTTAGAAATGATTATCCGCTAAAATGATCTTGAACAAGACTAAAATGACAAATCTTCCATTCTATGATAGTGCAGGGAAGGTTACCTTTTTCAGAGTCCATTGCAACATCAATATCACCAACCAACAAAGATGCATGGATCCTACTAATGAAACCAGAAAAGAAAATAAGAGTAAACCCACATTAATCATTCAAATATTTATGCTAATGGTCTAGCTTACACTCCCTTGTTCTCTTCATATAAGTTCATCCTAGTAATCATACTTCCAAGAATGAAAGGCAACAAATATTAAAACAGAATAAAGCAAATGTTAAAACAGAGACTAAAACAAATACTTGTTAAATTATCAACTCCAAATCACATAAGACACACCATTATCAAACATATGCAAGTCCATCAACCACGAAACACAACTAACCAAACTCCAAAACCCTCATTTAGCCATAGTGCAAGCAAAACAGTCAAATCGAAATCATAAAAAAAAATGTAAATAACGGTTAGGACTTAGGATATGAGAAACATAATTGTTAAAAGATTGTAAATAACGGTTAAGTGTAAACAAAAAAGAAATGTAAAAAATATGAAATTAAAATAAATGTATATGAAATTAAAGTATTTTAAGATTTAAACTCATTGTTAATCAAGAACAAATGAAGCATAAGATGATGTACACAATAGCTTCAAAACGAGTCGAAAAGTAACAAAGTTGAAGGGGAAAGGGTCCGGGTTGTATGGTAACTAATAAGTAAATACAGAGTAATTAATAAAATATATTAATATTATAGAAAGAATTACTATAACTATAGTAATGTTAAGTTAGTGCAGTATAGAAGTGTTTTACTTATTAGTGACTAATAAAATCATAATATTAGTAAATAATAATAAGATAATAATTATAATAATAAAATAAAGTAATAGTAATGCTTTTAATTGATTCAGTTTTTAAATTATTAGATTTGTAAAATGCAAATATATGATTTGAACTAATTAAAGTCTGATTTATAATTGGTTTAGAACAAATTTCATCTAATAAAAAAAAAACTAAAAGTAATTTAATTGATTTAGCTTAAATCATAAATTTTATCAACTTATCTGAATCAAATCCCTAAAAAGAAAGATTTTATCAAACAAGTGTCCTATGGTCAAATATCAACATAACTTCATTGAAATCATCAACCAACCAAAGTCATATGTAATCGGAAATGATTCATAACTCTCTAATAGTTGACCAACAATTTCTTGGTTACTTCCTTGAATGTAGGAGCATACACTACAAAAAAGTAGGTAGTTAGTAGGGGTTTTTTTTTTGCGGTTTCAGAAAACCGCCACAAAATATTATAATTTGGCGGTTATTTTAACCGCTACAAAAAGTTACGTTTTCAACGGTTTAAAACCGCCACAATATTTCGTGGCCAACTTAATTAAAATAATTTTTTTATTATTTTTTAAAAGAATAAAAATCATAAACTTATTCTTAGGCACGCATGCTTCACTTTCTCTCTAACTTCTTTCAAAATTCTTCTCTTATTCAATCCTCTTCCACTTCTCGCTTTTAGGGTTTCAATTTCTTTAATAGCGCCCGGTCCTAATCGCTCTGATACCAGCGCCACCAAAGACAACGCTGTTGCAAAGAAGAAAGTCGAGAACGAAGATCTGGTGAATCCAAAAGCCTCTCTTCAAATTTTCTCTCATTCTAGACCGCAAATTTCTACTCTGTTTTCTCTTGCAACAAAATGAAAATCGATTATGGTAATTTGTGCAGTCCGATGAGGATTTGGCACTGAAGCAGCAATAGAGTTGTGCGTGGAGAGGGTTCAGGATCCCCGACTAGGGATTGCAGAAGGTTTCAATGAGGTAAACCTAGTTGTATGCTCGAATGGAACAAATTTTGATTTGAATGAGGATTTTTAGCTTTCTTTTATATTTAATTTTATGTGTTTGAAATTGGGATGTGTTGTTGTGTTAGTTTGACAAGAAATTCGAACTTATGACTTCAGTTCCTAAGCCGTTGAAATTTCTTTGCCCTCATTATGGCACTCTTAAGGCGTATTACGAAACTATGAGAGAGTCTAATTAGAAGGAATTGTTATTTGTGTGCTATGGTGTTGCTATTTGGTATGAAGATATTGTCTAAATGTTTGTTAGGAAAGTTAGGATTCGTTATAATTATGATAAGATCTAAATTATCCAATGTTGAACAAAATTAAATTTCAGTTTTTTATCCCATATTTTTCTCCTGTTTTATCTGAACTGTTGTAGATTGGTTGACATTTCTTAACCAAACTCGTACCTTTTTATATTCTAGCATTGTATGACTCCATATGAATAAGAGAAAAAAATATCATCTCTTCCCCAAAAATTCCAATTGGTATACGAAAGTTTAAGTGAATTAAAGACCTGTTATTGCTTTCAAGTCTGAATTCAGACCAATTATGGTCCCCTTTTTAATGCTTTTTTGATAAATTTTGTTCCTCTCATGTCTGCAATGATAAGTTAAAATGTTTCTTTGATATTGATCTTTGAAATTACAGGGGTATGGATCTTTTTTGTTGCGGGATTTGCCCTTTGATGCTATTCAGTTTTGCATCTACAAGCAGATTTGAATAAGTTATATATGCTTGCGGTAAATTCCTCAAGTTGTTTCACTATTAAAATTTTGACCCTCCTCTTATATAATGAGTATAAATTATACTAGAAAGAAAGGAACTTTTACAATTCAGTGTGTTTAATTATTAGTTGAGAAATATCCATTTCTGAGATCTTTATGTCTCGAGGAATTAGTCTTTAATTATCAACTGAGAAATATCCTTGGTGCAAACAAAAAAATAAACTTAATATTGTTTATTTGGTAATAAGCTACTTATTTTATTTGAAGTATTTGGCTATTTACATGATTGAGTAGACAAAACATGCACCTCCAAAATTTCAGACATGGGCACCTGTAACCTAACATATGCTAACCCAAAACCATTTGTTGCTTGTATTTTTTTCCATTCCCATTTATAATTTTTTGAAGGGGAGGAGAAATGGTTAATAATGATTCTTGGAGGTTAAATTGCTGTATTTTAGTTTTCTTTATGTTTGATTTGTTAAGCATTATTGCAAGTCCAACTAAGCCTTTTGTTGAGATGTGACTAATTGCTTTGTTTCTTGTAGGTGCACTAACTGGAGCTATAACTACCCCCTTGATGTCATCAAGACAAGGTTAATGGTTCAACTAAGCTGTGAACTTTCTTTTTTTAATCTTGTTTTTACAAGGTAGCCATCTTTCTCCATACACAAATGCAGAAATGATACCTTCTGTATATGGCTAATCTACAAGCAAATCAATAATAATATTCAGTGTAAATTATCAAGTCATTCATAAGTTCCTATTTTCCTCCTCAAGGGATCTGCAAACCAATATAAGGGAATCGCAGACTGTGTTCAAACAAATCTATGTAAGGAGAGGTAGGCCTTCGGTGACTAACAGGGGATCATAATCTTTTTGACTTTGCAGCTCAAGGAAATTTTAGCAAAGCAAGCTGAATTGGGAGTTGAAGTTGCTGGAATACCATCATACTACCTGAAGAAATCTGAAAATCAAGGTCTTCAGAGGGAAGGGAGAACTTTTATAGTTATTTGAATTAAAATATTCATTTCTAGTAAAACTTGGTCTGTATTTATACATCAAAATCTGGTAGAGTTTTTGTGTCTGTCTGTATTGCAGGTCTTTTTATACAACAAAATTAAGGGTATGCTGCATCGTTTGACTATGATAGTTCATATTTATGGATGTAGTTGAGTACTTCATATGTGATGAATTAGAGGTATGTACTCTGTTTATATCTATCCGTTGATTGTGTCGTATTGAAGCTCATAGTGCTTTCTTGGCTAAGGTAATGTGCATTTGAAGGCGTTTAAAATATTTCATGATATAGAATTTGAATAATATTTTGTTTCTTGTTTCTTTTCTACACGCCTAATTTTCTACATGCATGGTCAATGTTTTAAATTCTTGAACCTTGAGTCTTTAATTTTTGCTTAGTTAGTTTTCATTTATACGTTAAAGTCATTGCATTCTTTTTTGGGGCCCCGCTTCCTCAATTTTTTTGTAATGTGTAGGCTAATGTGCTACTTTTAAGCAATTTATATAATTAGTATAATTAGTGATAATTTTAAGCAATAATTTGATAAATACCTAAAATATATAGATTATTATTTCTCAATTTATAATAATAAAAATAATTTTAAATCTATCTTTTAAAATAATAAAAATGCATCGATATAATGTAGAATAAAGTGAGAAAAGTAAAAACAAAATACATTTTTTTACGATTTAAAACTGTGAGAAAGAGGAAAGAAAATTGAAAATAAGGTGACATTTTTAAATAGATGTAAAATTAACATGTAAATTTAAAACCGCCAGAAATGTTGAATCAAGCAAATTTTAGATTGATTTGGCGGTTTAAAACCGCCAGAAATAATAAATCAAGTAACATTAAAATGCATTTTTTAGCGTTTTAAAACCGCCACAAAGTGATTGAATTTTCTGGCGCACAAAACCAGCGTTTACAAAATCTACGCCACAAACTGTTTTTGGTGACTGTGGACCCGGCGGTTATTAATGACGCTGGTAAAGCCACTTGTGCAAGTTACTTTATATGTGATTCATTAATATCGATCTAGGTTCAACATTATTCTTGTTAACAATATTAATTTGGATATATCCATTATTTTGTACGTGGATATTTTTTTTTGTTGAGTTTTGTGATGGCCAAAACTCTACATAAGAAGTGTGTTACTCTTCCTTAAAGTCATTGAATTTGCTCTTATTTATAGCATACAACACTATCGTATATTAAAAGTAAGGATTGGAATTATTTTGGAGGGATTTTGACATAAGATGGAATTGGGCTCATTATAGATAGCAATGACTGGATATTGGTTTTTATTCGTGATTCTTATTTTTATTTCCACTTGATTTGAATATGTTGTTTTGTATTTAACATGTTTGGATTGACAAAATTTCTAACATTTGGTATCAGAGTCAAGTAAAGTCTCTATCTTACTTGTATTGATGTCTTGTGATGAAATTTTTCTTCTTTTTTTTTTTTTTTCAGTGAATGAGAATATTTTTTTAAGCCTCCCTTAATCTAATAAAACTAGATATTGAATGAAAAATCCTATTCTACACTTTCTATGAATTAAAATCGGCATTTTGATGTTAAAAATAATGGTTGAACAACAAGTTCCTCGACAAGATGATAAGGCAACATTAAGAAGATCTATTAGAATTAAAAGGTTAGCAATTCCCAGTAATTATGTAGTGTATATCTACTAGAATTAAATAAGTCTATATTCTTAAGTAGGTTAATAAGTCTAAATATTAAATATATTATTATAATTAATTATATGTATGAAATATAATTATTAATTATAAATTGATATATAATGTATAATATTATTTTTATATTTTAAATAAATCAACCTATCAAGTTTACTAGACTTTTTAAAACCCTAAAGAGTGAAGTCTGACTTGTAATAAAATAATTTTTTGAAGTTTTGACATTTTAATAAACATATATAATCTAATTAAACTTTAAATAGGTCTGGATGTAGCCCCTGATAAATTGCCTAGTGTCCTTATTTATTTCTACCCTTAATCATAAGGAGATTACTTGCGTGCCCTTTCGGAATAGAGGGTTT